GAGAGAGAGAGAGAGAGAGAGAGAGAGAGAGAGAGAGAGAGAGAGAGAGAGAGAGAGAGAGAGAGAGAGAGAGAGAGAGAGAGAGAGAGAGAGAGAGAGAACAAAAGAAACCAGGAGGGGCAAGGTGGTTGCAAGAAATGACAGGGGAAGTGCAGAAAGAGGAGGTGAAGACAAAACACCAAGGCAGGTTGCTTGCTGTTGTGTGGAGTCCGCTCGTGTGCTTTGATCATGCACGTCTGTCTGTGATCTCACCTGGACGGCTCCACCTGAGGTCAAGCCAACGTCAAAGATAGCCTGGGCGGCCTGTGCTGGACCATTTGGGTTGTCGTGGAAGGCAACACGGAGAGCGTCCCCAGCAAAGGCGCCCGCGCCGCTACGCAGTCCCAAACATTCAGCGAGGTAATTGAGAAAGAAAGAAGACGTTACTGAAGTTGGGTAAAGTTGGTTGAAGACAAATGAACAGGGGAAGGAAGGCCGGGCTGGCAGGCAGTGACAAGCAGGCCGGTAGCCAGGCAAGGCACACACACACACACACACTGTGGTAGAGCACTGGCAGTGTTGTATACCGCTCTACAACGCACACACATGCACACAAGCAGAAACATTCACACACACACACACACACACACACAACACTCACACTGGGTGGCGGTGGAAGTCGTCGTTGACAATTGCTAAAAGGAAGACATGCGTGTCGGACCATGCAAAACGCACCTGAAAAGGAAAGCAACACGGAAACACAGCTCGAGCCGATGAAAAGAAAAAGCAAGCACAACAAGCACAACAAGTACAACAAGCACAACAAACAAGCAGAGCAAGCAAGCAAACATCACTGCAAGATACAGAAACAAGCAAGCAAGGCACTACACCGCATCACTTTGTACCTCGACAGAGTGGTCTGGATAGCCGGAGTAGTACATGGGCTGAGCGCTGTAGAAGTATGTTTCACTGGCCGAATCAGGTGTGGTGAAACGATCGTACTTGCCGTATGGCATGCGCAGGTCCCAATCGCTCGCTGCAAGGAAAGAAAGGAAAGGAAAAAAAAAAAGGCGGTTACATGTGATGCAGAGTACCAATAGCACCACACCAGAGGACGCCCAAACACATTGTTGTGCACCCTCTGCACGACTGTTTGTTTGAAACCTAAACAAACCTCAAAACAAAATCACTTCATATGACACCCCAGAGCAGATACACAGCTCCACGACGCTGCAAGTCTGCAGACTCGTACCAGCACCGTCGACAGTCACGCCTGTGACTTTGGGTGCGTCGAGGGAAGGCCGAGCAGCGCACTTGCACACGACGGTTGTGAGTGCCAGCAGCGCCAACAAGAGAGGCAGCGGAAGAAGAACTCCCAGTCTTCTTCCTGCCATGACGCTCGTCGTGCTCGCTTGATGTGAGTTGCAAGCACAAGAAGCGTTTTGCTCGCACACACAGTCAAAGTGAATTGTGAGGCATTTTGGCTTGCTTGCAGGCTCTTTTACCATCACGATCTTCAAGCCGGTGGGCAAATTTCGGTTTGCCACTCCATTGCGGACAACAGAGACAAAAGACAGTGGTGGTCGAGTTTGGCGGGAACAAGGTTTGTGTGCGCACAAGTGTGACAGTGAGTGTGTGCGTGAGTGATGCAGCAGGGGGGTTTTGCTTGCTTGCTGTCCGCATTCATCACACACGAGAGTGCGTCTTGGATGTCACTGTCGTGTTGTGATACGGTGTTGTGGTGTTGGCGCCAATTACAACCAAGATCTCCCTCCCATTGATGCACTCACTTACGCGTACACTCACTTACACACATACACACACACACATACACACACACACATACACACACACACACACACACACACACACACACACACACACACACACACACACACACACACACACACACACACACACACACACACACACACACACACACACACACACACACGCACACACACACACACACACACACACACACACACACACACACACACACACACACACACACACACACACACACACACACACACACACACACACACACGGCTGTTGTCAGCAGCGAGCGAGGCAGGCATGTCGTTGCTTACGCTACAGGAGAAGCTGGTGAAGCTGAAATCGTCCAAGACCAAAAAGGCGGGCGAGGATGTGTTTGACATGCTGAAGAATGCAGACCTCCTGCTCACCCTCGACGACAACACCCTGGACCACATCACCCCAACATGGCAGGACGTCGTTGAGCCGTACGTGACGTCTTGTGGCAACATCGGCAGCCGCGTCACGGCCACCATCTTCCAGTTTGAGCACCTAAACAAGATCCTCGAGTGCGCAGATGCCCGCTTCAAGCAGCACGGCACAACCATGCTGCCGGAAAAGTTCATGCACCAGGTCCTCAAGAAGATGCTCCAATGGCTCAAGGAGCCGGCCCGCGTCCACTACGTCGTCAACATCCTCCTGCGCCGCATTTTCATCCACGACGCATACGTCGCGTGCATGTCCGCCGCCCTCATAGACAAGTTCATGCAAATCTGCCTCCCAGCCGTCCGAGAGCCGGGCACTTGGGCTCACAAGGACACGTGCAAGCTCGTCGAGCTGTTCAAGTGGCTGCTGTGCGACAGCCCGGCCTTGATTCAGCAGCGCATCATTCACTCCAAGAACCGCCACGACATCCAGGACGCCCTCCACGACACGCTGGAGCGGCTCGGCCCTGCTGGCAGCGCCGCCAAAGGCCACTTTGGCACACTCAAGCAGTTGCTCAGAGGATGTCGCGCCTACACGCTCCTCCTGGCGCACCAAGGCCAGCTTGCGCTTGCACACTGGGCCAAGGACTGCGCCCGCCGGCTGCTCGACCTCATCCTCTCCTCGAACATCACCGACGACGTGCGCACACAGGCCGTGCAAACCCTCCGCGTGTTCCTGGCCGCTCGCAGCTGCGCCGACTCTAAGCTGCTGAGCAGCTTCACCTCGCTTGTCACGAGTGAGCTGCCGCGGTTGCTTTTCGTGCGCCAGCGGTTGGCATCTGGCACCAAGCTGTCGCCGGACAATCATGCCTTTGCAGCCTTCATCGCAGACCTCCTTGCCATTGTTCCGGCATTCTCCAACAGCGATGAGCGAATCAGCGTCATCCCACCGCCTCCCACGCGTGCGGGCAGCCGGGCATCCGCTACACAGCTCCACACAACAGGGGCAGCAACCGCCATGGCAGCTGCTGTTGGCGCGCGCATGGGGCGACTGCGGCTGCCGTCGCTGCAGTCCCGCTCCTCTGCTCGCCGCCCTCACGACAGCAGCAGCAGCAGCAGGAGCAGGAGCAGCGGTGTTGGTGGTCGTGTTGGTGATGGTGATGGTGATGGTGATGGTGATGAGGGTGACGCCGTTGTGATTGACCTGGAGAATCCCAACAACAACAGCAGCGCCAGGAGCAGCAACAACAACAGCGGACGTGCGAGTAGCAGCGCAGGAGCTGGGGACGCAGAGCCGCCACGACTGCGCGCCAAGAGGAAGGAAGGTGCCATTGCCACCCTGTTGCGGTGGCTTGGCAAACAAGAGGAGGCCGCCATCGTGCTCACCACATACTTGGTGGAGCGACATGCTGACAAGGCAGGCCTGCCGTTTATCAAGCAGGCCATCCGTGGCGCCTTGCCGCTGATCCGCGAGGGCGCAGGGGAGAACAGTTACTGGGGGCTGCGCTGCGTCGCTGCGTTGCTGCACGCTGCCCATCACGCCATCAAGCGCACCACGCAAGCAAACGCCAGCAACTCTCCCACAAGCGCACATGCACCGGGAGCACCAGCACCAGCACCAGCAGCAGCAAGAACAGCAGACATTAATGGACACGCACATGCAATGTACACGGCAGCTGGCTCCACTGGCACTGCATTCAGCGCCACTGCTGCCAACGCGTCATCAACAACGGCGCTAACAAGAGCGCCGACGTGCGATGCGACGAGAGCGTGTGGCGTGCTGGGCTTTGATGAAGAACTGGACGCGGCGTACTTGGATGCGCTCTCTGCGCTGCGCGCGCTGCTGGTTGGCGCTGCAGTCCCAAGCAGTTCCCTGCATGCACGCAACGCGTTGTGGCGCGCGCTTGTGGTCTACGGCTCCCCAGATGTGCTGCGGGACG